CCCCAAAACCCCAAAACCCCAAAACCCCACTACCTTTGAATGTTTAGAAATTTTTAGAATTAACATAAAGTAAATTGTGAGTTAATAATAATGTTGGTCTAAGGTGAGGATTCTGGAAACAAAAAAGAGTGGTATCTGAAATCAGTAAAGTAACGAAGGAAGCAATGAGAAAGGAATTAAGAATCAGTCGCAAAGAGATTAAGAACTCTATACGAGTTTAAAAAGGAAATGATTAAGAAGCAGTAGGCAATAGAATAAAAATATTGGGATAAGTTAATAAAAAGAGTAGAAACAAATAAAACAAACTGTTCACTGGATAGTGATAAAATAGAAGAGATTGATGAACTCTAGTAAATGAGGCTTAAACTATATGAATAAAAGCTTGAAATTGGATAAAATTATCTAAGTCATTAAGTTCCAAGAAAGTAGGTATCGGACATGAAATAGCAAATGTTAAATGCCAAAAATTATAAATCCAAAATTAACATAAGACGTTTGACGACCTAACTTAATCAAAAGCAACTGCAAGAATAGTTAAAAGATGAGAATGATGATTATCTTTAAAAACTTATTAATGGAGATAGAGATCAAATAAACTAATAGAACAGAGCTAAATTTATGAGGTCTAACTCATAACTGGATAAGTATTAGAGAAAGTTAAAAGAGGGTAAAAACAGTTTACTTCAAGTAATGCTTGGAGATTTGGATCATAATAAATCAAAGAAGCAGGTGGCAGATCTTATCGTTAAATTTGATATGAGACTAGATAGAGCAAAGGCCTTAAGAAATTACTCTTTATCAACTGCAATGGTTAGCTAATTTGGAGATGGCTCTGCATATACCTTCTACAAGACAGGATAAATGTTCAGTTTATAAAATGGAGTGAGCCTGAACAAAGAAAAAAAGAGGTAAGAAGAATTGCAAGAACTGGAGACATTCAGAGAGAAAATCCAAAAGCAGATAGAGGACTAAAAGCTCTAATAGTTATAAAGGGCTTTGACAGGATAAAGTAAGGATGAAAAAAGATCTACACTGAATAAAACTCTAAGCTGGTCAAAAAGATTCTCACAATTAAAAACCATTGAAAATATTCGAAGATAATCATCTGTTTCAAGTGACTTTAATGCTACTAAAAGCTCACTAGAGCGAGATAAGAGCATGGCTTCCAAACATCATTCGAAATCAAGCCTTAGCAATAGTAGCAAAGCCAATAGTTTATAAAAATCCAAGAATAAAGTTGTATTTGCTAGCATTGTTGATGAAAAAGATAAGTAAGACAAAGTCGTCCTTTTAGAATAGATCCATGAAATAGTTCAAGATAGATTTGATTCTCAAAACAGACCTCAACATTAATCCTCAAAATTTTAAATTCCCATTCCTGCTAGATAATCGGGCAAGAAACGTTTAAAGTTAAACAAAAGTATGCTTTCTTAAGGATCTATTTAGTACATAAAGAATAATAAAACAATCGATAATTACTCCGCTAGGACAATTGATATTTCAAATAGCTTTAGACAATTCAATAATAATTCATAAATACTGGATAATAATCAGAAATGCTATAATGATAAATTTAATTAGGATCAAAGTCTTAGGAAAATTAAGAATAACAGTATATTTAGGTAAGCAATGTGCTAAATTGATGAGAGCTATAAATTAAATGTCAAAAACAACTTTAACTCTCAGATCTTGATAAATGATTATAAGAGATAATAACCTAGCATGGACAGAATTAACTCATTAGCATTACCATCTTGTTATCCGAAAGGATACTGCTAGATACAATCTATTTTTAGTGATTTAAAGTTATCAAAAGTTAAAGCCTCTCAAAAGTCAATTAATGTATCTGCTATTGCTATTAGTGATTATAACAGCAGTTATATAGATTACAAACTTCCTTTAAAATCTAATCTAAAACATATTAAAGCTATTTCGAGGAATAATTGACTAAGATATAATTATTATTTTTTTAATTTCACTCTAAGCATATCCATCTCAAAGGGGTTTTGGGGTTTTGGGGTTTTGGGG